CTCACCATGTTAAAAAAAATTTCAGATGAAAGAAAATTTTTCTATTATGAATTGTCGAGCCGTGAAATCTCGTAAAAGAAACCGAGTGGTGTAACGTTACACGCTTGACCGACAGCGAGCGAGATAACATAGGCGCAGCAATGACGCAGCCTAGGCGTAGGACCATCTATACTGACACTTGTAGAATCCAAACTGACTGACACTTGTAGAGAATTTACTGTATTGAACAGATTCACGTCAAATTTTGCATGGCTATATAGTACACCATGACGCAGTTTTTGATATGGCGGATTGCTTAGTTAATTTGTAGTTTCTTTTTTATCGCATAAAAAAGGGCAAAATATTCGAAAATTGAAATTTTCATTCAACAGCTTTAAAAATCAACTTTTTTCAAATCGGCCACGTCAGAAACAGCATTTGTTAATATATTTTAAGAAATTAATTTGTTTTTTGCTCTGAGGTAAAAGTTGTTTACGTAGGAGTGGGCACCATAAGTCACCGTAGCGAATAACGCATTTGGAACTAGCTCCTATAGCTCTAATATGTTATTGATATTTTCACATAAAAAAAAATTAATTATTATAGCCAAAGATAAGATCCAATTAATGAAACAATTACGAATACAATAATGTTTATACTTTCTTAATAAAAAATTCTAAAAGAACGTGAATTATTAGGCCTCTCCAGCTGTATATTCCCCCTTAGCACGTTCTCTACCAGACCATTTTAAGCAAACTTTTAGAATGACCCCAACAATTTTTTTTTCTTTTTCCTTAAATCACTTTTTCATCATTTTGTATGACAGTTTTCATAATTTTCAGTTTATTCAGCACGTTTTGAAAAGTGGGTCACATAGGCCTAATGAGCCATTCATTTTCTTCCTGGACCGTGTCACATACACTACCGGCCAAAAGTTTGGAATCACTGAGCATTGCAATTTACACAAAAATTTCCAGAAAAATGTCAGCGACTTTGAGAATTTTTTATTGCTCGAATCAATCGATATGAGACAAATTGATAAATGTAGAATTGAGATAAACTTCAAATCTATAAAACAGTTAGCAGCAGATTTAATATCGATGAAAAGTGGGAGGTGATTCCAAACTTTTGGCCGGTAGTGTACATACATATATGAATGATATCTTTGTTATCAGTACTCAATAACTTCTATATCCCTATTTTCTTCCTTTTTCTTTACCCACTTATAATTAGAATTACAAGGAATACTTATAGTAATTGTAACAGTCTTCCAATGCAGATTATGTTCTTTTTTCTAAAACCCGACGTAGAATAAGCACCGTATTTGTTAAAATAAATACTGCAGTTATTTTGAAGAAATAAATACTTTTACGAACGGCAAATATAAAGCACTGGGTACATTATGTATTATCTAAACTGTTATTATCTATGTTGAACTATATTATCTAAGGACATCATAGTATATGATAAAAAAAGCTACGCTGCGGCCCAGAAAGTATGAGCGACACGGCTATAAAGAATAAATCCCTGTCACTCGTATACGAGTGACGCGGTACATTGCAAAAGAACAGTGTCACTCATATATATGAATGAAGTTGTAGAGAACGTGTTAAGTACACAAATCGATGCAGTTTCTCATCCTCTATAAAAAAATATTAAGATACTTTTATATCTTTAAAAGTCTTTTCCTCTTTATGTTTGTTCAATTACTTCGGGATGTCAACATACATAAAGCGCGCGCACAAATTTCGTTAGATGCTAATGCAATAGCATACACAAAGTGAGGCAGGACGCGTGGTAAAACCAGGCAAAGAGTGATTCTACATGTAAATAAACCGATTTACGTTTATCTTCTGAAGTCTCGTTTTCGAGAAAATCAAGTTTGAGTATCTATCGAGTACGCGTACATTTGACTATCTCCGGTCTTCGTGTTTGTACTAATAAACAGTGTCAATGTCATGATAAGTACTAATAATACGTTTATTAATGAGTTTACTGGTTTACATGTACTGAATGAACTGCTGAAAGTGACGTCCTTGTTCACGTACATAAATTCCTGTTCTTCGAATCAGAGAGTCGTGAACTGATGCCCCACTATTAAAATAAAAGTGTGAGCAGAAGTAACAGACTGTTGGGAATATTTATATTCAATTTTCTCGAAAGTTAAGTTTCTTATAAAAAAATTGTATTCCTTATTTTTACATGTAGAATCGCCTTCTACCCAGTTATATTAAGCGTCCTACCTCATCCTGTATATGTGTATACATTAATAAGATTTTAATAACACTTACCCAGTCTTTAAAAACAAAGCCTAAAACACCGGCAGCCACCTCCATTAATAATAACAACGCCAGGAATATCGCATACTGCAATGAATTCATATAAAATAATACGTTAATAAATTTGACTTTCAATATATCAAATTAGAAATAAATAAGTTACCGTTGAAATAGGTTTTAATGAACTTTCAATGTAGAAATCAATGTAATAAAATAAGAGGTATGAAAAAGATGATTTCATGTATTAGTTAATACATCAGTTGTTCTTTTTTCTTGAAGAAAATCTTCATGTGCCAGAACTATTAAGGTAATAATGAATAATTAAATAACAATAACGTGTACAAAGTAATGAAAATAAAATAAACTATTTTAAACGATTGAGTTTCAATTAATTAGAAAGTTGGTACTATTATCCAGTTCATGAACGACTTATACGGTTCACATACTAAAAATTCCTGGGGAAATAAATGAATTGCTTGCTACATTCAAATATTACACGTGTTGTGCTTGAAGTAAAGAAAAGTAACGCACTAGTGTTGACTATGTAACTTTCTTCGAATATACTAGCGATACAATTAAATTGACTGCGTGCGCCAGACATATGGAGTATAGTCGATGGAAGAAATATAGCGAAGCCGTAAAATCGGTCAAGCGCCAAAGTTCACACGTTTAAGTATATCGACAAGCGAATCGACAGAAACCTGAGAAGATAAGGACCTGAAACCTCACTTAGGGCCGCATGAAGTATGCCTTAGCTTTAATTCAGTCCTAATCGAAAAACGAAAAATGCCGCATTTGACCCTGGGTATTTTTGCATCAATCTATGCCGTTACTTAATGCTTTAATTTACGACCTCACTATATTTCTTCCACCGACTATACACCAACCTTACAAAACAGAGGAGAAATATTAGCAGGATTATGTTTTAATTGCTACCGTTTCGTGTAACCTCTTAGTAGCATATTATCTATGATCTACAATCCGTTCAACGAGTCAAGCCAGTGGAGGTAAACAAACGCACGTGACTGAGACAGGAGCCTATTCAGATACTGTAAAACTAAAGAGAAGTCGAAGCAAGCCCTAACAATGATCTATGTAAATTCGCTCCTGAACTATCGTTCGCTAGCCAATAGCTGGAGTCCCTTGCATCTATCACGTGCTTGGTAGGCGAATGTTTTGTTTACCTCTACTGAAGTATTCGTTTGCGTACCCAGAAATACATCTTGTCTTTAGCATTGCGTACTTTAGTTTTGCCGACATTCCATCGTGTCAGTAACAATACCGATACTAAAAGTTGGTGATGTACAGTCGATGGAACCGATATAGTGAGATCGTAAAATCATCAGTCATGCATCAAAGTATGTATGTATACAGCAATAGAAGAATCAATTCCTGAGCGAGGCACGAACTCATTATCTCCCTCGAATTGCTGTTTTGGCGATTGGATTGCGTGTACTTATACTGACGCCTGACTGATTTTACGTCCTCACTATATCGATTCCACCTACACTACGAGGAGATTGCACGGCCAGACTTGTACCTCATTGCCTTATCATTTTTTAGCATCGTTCTTACATACTGATGCATCACCGCATTATCTCTTGAGGGATATCGTTCCAAAACCGACGAAGTGTATCTCTCAATGTTTACAATATTATAGGAGGTTTTTCCAAACTTCTCAATCTTGGGTTACTTTAGTGCCGGTAGCACACTGTCGTCGTCAACAAACCCTTACCGAACCTCGTTCTATTCTTCCACGCGAACTTTCCCTTTTCCAAGAGGTTTTTCCAAACTTCTCAATCTTGGGTTATTTTAGTGCCGACAGCACACTTTCCATTCAAAGTACTGTGGCGGGTACGTCGTCGTCAACAAACCCTTACCGAACCTCGTTCTATTCTTCCACGCGAACTTTCCCTTTTCCAACTCCTTCAGATTTTAGTTTCCGTTCTTTTGTCTCTCCCCGGGTTAAGACTTGCCTTCGTCCTCGAGTAGCCTAAGAAGCGCACATGTGGCATCCAGGTTCGCACGAGGACGAACGAATTTTCCGTTTCCACCACTTTCTCCACTTCTATCTTTATCTATCGCTACTCCTGTCTCCCTGTCCTGACAATATAAAAACCCAGTACGCCTACACCTCCGAGAGTTTGTTCCTTTACCGACCATCGCGACGTACCCGCCGAACCGCTGCCACCAGGACAATTAGCAAAGTAAACGATTGTATTTGCTGGACCAATTGTACGCCGACCATACAGTTATACTTTAATAAATTGAGGTGAAAACAGTGTAACGACGTACCTCACCCACCTCAAGTTCACTGTTCACGAAAATGTCTACACTGCCAGTGAACACTAGTGTGTACCTGGCATGAGGCATTTCGTATCATCGGTTCGATTCAGCATGTACGATCGCTACTGCATTCATACAGTACCCCACCACAGGATCTTTGCTCAAGTAGGATATCGAAGTAGGATAAGAACATCGCTGTGCGCTCGAGTTTGTCTGACCACTTCACGTAGAGCAACTTCGAAATCGGTCCAGTGAACACTAGTGTGTACCTGGCATGAGGCATTTCGTATCATCGGTTCGATTCAGCATGTACGATCGCTACTGCATTCATACAGTACCCCACCACAGGATCTTTGCTCAAGTAGGATATCGAAGTAGGGTAAGAACATCGCTGTGCGCTCGAGTTTGTCTGACCACTTCACGTAGAGCAACTTCGAAATCGGTCCTGCTCTACGTCCATAGTCAAGGCACCCTCTGTATTTCTTCGCTGTTGCTTCCGTAGATTCGGTATGGAGGCTCCGATCTCACAGTTGTAAATTTAATATTATATGAAGAAAAATATTAGATTGCAACGACGTTCCTCGCCCACCTCAGTACAATAAAACTGCGACAAAAAATCGTACATCAAGTTTTAAGGGGTCGTTGCAAAAAGAAGGCCTTAATCTTCAAATTCATGATGATTTGAGTCGCGAGAAAAATGTTTTATATTCCGCACAGTCGTTTGATTTTGGAAAATTTTCGAGAAAAAAAACCATCTTGACTTTCCTGTCCCGCTTTCAGATTAAAAAATCAAATTACTAGGGAAATTCGACAACCTGAAAATTCAAAAAAATTTGAAACTTTGCAAAAATGTAGTTCAAGTGACGCTGACAACGAAACCACTTTTTATTTTAACAATGAAATCGTCCTGGGGGTGAAAATATGTCCTCAAAGAAATTGTCAGTTTTCATATTATCGTGAATATTTACAAAACCGTACAAGATATGAAAAAAAAAAAGTTAAATTCAAAGTTGTACGGTTTTTGATGACCTATATTGTGACGATAAAGAATTTTCGAAAAAAGGGTAGTGCGGGTAAAGAAGAAAAAAATGTTTTTCGAAAATTCTTTGCAACCACGATGTAGGACATCGAAAACCACATAACTTCGAGTTTACCCTTTTTTTTCCATATTTTGTACGGTTTCGTAAATATTCACGATAACTTGCACGATTCCATTGCCGAAACGAAAAATAGTTTCGTTATTAGTGTCACTTGAACTGCATTTTTACAAAGTTTAAAATTTTTTTGAATCTTTGTTAGCAAGGTGAAAGGGGAGACTTCGCTATTTGAACCCCAGGCGGATTATTGTACGACTTTTTTTCACCAAGTGATAACAATTCAAAAATCAACAATTTTTCGACAAAAGTTTCGTGATCCTTTGATTTTGCCGCCAAGTATAGTTTGAGGATTAATTGTTGTCATGTGCAGTGTACTATAATGTTTTAGTTAATTTATTGTATGATTTTCCCTCAATACAAGATTGTAAATGATATAATAACATAAATGATATAAATGATATAAATCCCCTCAATGATCACACTTGTCGCTGATCACACATTGTACTTTTTGTTAGGCGGTATGTAAATCACACATTTCCTGAAAGATGAATCACTGAACCAGACGCATGAATTTAAAACCTTCACTTCTTTCATGGGGTTACGGTAAAAACTTTTTGTTGGAAAACTACAATAATAGATAAAAAATACCTGTGGATTAACTTGAGCAGAGCAAAACATTTTTTACAAGATACATAGTTCCTTTATACGGAGATGTCAAGCGTTTAGATAAATAAAATGGAGGATATGTGTAATATTTATTAGAAAGAGTCGAGAGATAATTACGGTAAGATAAAATCGATCCTTTAACAGTATTCGTTGAGCGAAAGAAGTAAACCACTTGTGTTACAAAAACAGAAAATCGCCTCTATCACCGACAATATTAATTTTTCAACTTATGTTTATTAAATCCTTTTTCCTCACTTTAATGAGTACCTAGGCGCGTCACAAGTGCATAATAGCCTCGGTGTATTACGCAAAGAGTTACTATGTGCTTTCTCGGAAACTGTGAAAGACAGCAAGGAAATACATTCACTTTTTATATTTAGTTGGAATTTTTTAAATTACACTTAAGGTACTATCGATGGTCTCGAAGGAAAAGTTCAATGTGGCTACTTCATTATTGCATGTTTGGATAACGTTTAATACGACAACATTTATTTAACATTTTTTCATACTTTGCATAATTAACGGATTACAACAGAAATATTTTTCAGTTATTGTAAAAAAAAGATATGTACAGAGTATTCTGCTATTCACTGGTCTCTTTATAGACCATAATTAAGGACGTAAAATAAAGAAAAAAATATAATATCAAAATGAATCATAAATGGATTAATAAGATGTATGTAAAGGTAGACAAAGCAAAGAAGAGGCTTCCGGCGGAACATAGTGTCAGAAAAGAGGAGATGGAGGAGAAACTGTGATGTTTTCGGTGTTAATCAGCCAGTAGTGATAGAGATAAACGATAAACGACGATAGAGCACCGCATGTGCAGTCGATAACATAAATTTCGAGGCCCGGAAACGATGGCTGTCCTTTCATGCTGATATCACCACAGACGAGATATAAAGTAGACCACTAATCCAATGTATTTTTTTGCCACATAACCACAGGCACAGACGAGGTACAGGATAGACATTGCACCTAATGTATTTTTGTGTCCAACGTTCTACAATACCGATCGTGCAAAAAATCAGAGTTTTT